ATCGCTCTTCGCTTCGTTTTGCGAGGAATGCGCATGCGGAGTCCGTATCGGGATGTCGCTGGCAGGTTCACTTGATGGTGCGCGTTGTGGGCCGAGAAATGGTCGAAGCTAAGCACCGTCACAGCCAGCGTTGAAAGTGAGGTGGTGCTGAACGTGACGTCATTGGTGCCATAATGGGCCATCGACAGGAGGACTGTCGCGTGTACAGTAATTTCAGCGAAGCGTTCGTGACTGGGGCGACAGGCTGGTGGGTGAGACGAGCAACATTGGCCAGGCAACGGATAGAAACGGAAGAGTCAGATGTCAAAAGAGGGATCAGAATGCATCGGGAGCCCAACCAGTGCAAAAGGGCGAGGCGCCATGGCTGCCAGAGGCTCGGTTCTGACTAGCTCACTCTGCCCGCGCGCTTGTGGCGCCCGCCAAAACTAGATCCCGCTAGCGCTTCCCACTCCACACATTTTCAGCGCTCCCTGTCAGTGTGGGGGCGCTCGAGTCCAAGGTTTTTGCACCCCACCAGACATCGCTGCCGGCCCTGGAAAAAACACGTGCATGGCAGAATTCCTCATCAGTCTGAAACATGAGATCTATCCTTTCTCGGCTCAGGCTTCACTGCAACAAACGCGCGAACCCCTTCACGCAAATTAATCAATTCCTGCTTCGCTTTTCATCGCAGAGATATCTCCTTGACCATCTTTACATTGGCTTCTGATGCGACCAGTTTCGCAGTCGTCTGATCCAATCGGCTGATAAATTGCTTACAACATCTCGCCCACCTTTTCTTTGATACTTGTAGTTCTGTGTTTGATGCGTCTTTCTTCTCCGTCATGTTGGACTACCAAAAGTATGGGCAACTATCAACCTTCACTACCCGGGCGGTCAAACCTCACGAGCCATTCGTTCTCCCTGCACTATGCACTTCTCGACTTCTTTCTTCGTCGCCCAAGCCATGTATACTAGAGCCAGCACTGATCGACGGACTTTTCGCGTATCGCTCGAGACGGCGAGTGACGTTGGCAACATTCTTCTCAAGACGAGTGGTATCCTCCTCAATCCTACGCACCACCGACTCGGCCCTAGATTTCAGTGATACCAGTGTCGGACTGGGCGTCCATGATTCCGTACCACCAGTCATTGGATGGGGTCTGATGTGCGTCGTTGTCGGGAGATCTTCACGGCTGACGCAATGTTGAGGCTCAGGGTTGCCAATGCGACTTTCGTTCCTACAGCCAAGGTGACAAATACTGGGCGCAGGTGCTGTTGGCCTCGCCTCACCGTCGATAGAATCACTATGCGTGCGATCGCCGCTGGTAGGAGTGTTGGCGCGATCCGCACCCTCGACTGAAAGATGGAGCGAGTGGCAGCAACTCTCGCGTGCCTCTCGCATCATGGCCGTTCCGTACTCGCTCAATTCGGCCTCGGATAGGTCTTTTGCATGGCGGCACGGGCTGCGCGTAGTTGTTTGAGTGTTGCCTGAGTTGGGGCAATTCGCCATGGCCACGGTTTGACTTGCAGGAGATTTTGGTTCACGTCTGCGATCTGCTGGGGAAAGCGGATATTGGCGGGCAGTATTTCAGCTAGAAAGTAATGGTAATGAATCGCTGGAGACTTATCATCTAGCATAATAACGCGATTGTCTGGGACAGTCATGTGTATGATTGTGAGATTGGCAATCGCAAGGTACAGCACGCGACATATCGCGTACATGACCTTGTGCGAGCGCGTCGGTTAGTGAAGATGAGCAAGGCAAGCGTCAAGGGCCTAGCAAATGATCGACCTCCCAGAAGAGGTGGATGGAGCCATCATGGGAAGGCATACCGTATCTGGAGAATCCCATGGCGAAAAACCTGAACAGTCCATGATGCACAGCGTCGACGATTGCGTCGCGGAACTCGTGAACAAAGGGCAGGACAATCCAGCCGAATGCCCAAGGTGTCAGACTCTTGCAGAATTGGATGCGCGCGAGATGGCAAGAGTGTTGATGGTTACATGTGATGTGGTGAAGGTGTGGTGTTCTACTCGAGCAGGGTGGGGCTGCGACGCTACGCCCTAAAACGATCAAGCGCCCCAGAACCTTCCAAGTTCAGACCATCACGACGTGCACGACATCCGGCCTACATCTCATGTCTCCGAATTCTGCGCGACTCCTGCGCCCGTCGCGCCCACGGGCGCCACGTCCCCCCAATTCTCGTTGCTGACTTCAATGTTCACATGAATGTGGCATGGCGTCTCGATCTCCAACACGTCGTCTTCGGCAAGGTAGTGTCTGCGTCGGCATCAGCACCGGGCTACACATCCTCACGCCGTCCAAGACTCGTCTTCGGGACATCGTTTTCCTCTCCCCACGCCGCACATCATGTGTGGTCATCGATTCCTAGCACGTTCAGGAAGCGCGTCATTGCCACAACGGAGATGTACGACAACAACAGCGAACTTCCCCGCGCCTCATCTCGGAGCCGCTATCGACTTTCTCACATCTCCTGCAACCTTGCGATCGAGCACAGCTTCACGTCACACGTGGCGCCTTGGACAGTCAACCTCTTGAGGACTCCAACCTACTGGCGCAGCAACAACTTCGTCTACCGCAATTTGAGGTGACGTCACTTGCAGCGCATATATTCGATGGGCCTCTACCACAATATTCTCCATTCCGTGACGACTTCGCCAATCAGCCACGATGCCGATGCGAGCGAACAGCAGCCTAGCTGGCACCAGGAGACCGACGCCCTCACCTTGGTGGTCGACAGCCATGCTATCAGGGCGTCATCCCACGCCAGCACCGACCGAGCCTGTCTTTCTGCTAGCGAGCGCAGCGCCGGCACGGACTTGGCAACCGTCAAGCTTCCCACAACGCTCGAGGCTGGCAAAGACACAAATGATGAGGTCGGCGACAGAGCGCACGACAGCGCAGAAGTGGTCGGTATACGACATGTCGTATTTTTGGCCACGACAGATCGCTGACACTTGCGCAGATACTGTTTACCTCCTCCTTCGTGACGAACGACCCCGTGACGAATGCACACACGCAGACCACCGATATGGCGTTCCATACAGACCAGTCCGCAGAATACGACATACACATACACAGGGATTATTTGCCAACGGGTCATGCAAATGACCAAATTGCTCTTCGTTTATTGATGAGCAACTTGGCTGGGACAGGGAAGAAGAGCTGGCTTGCTCTCTATTCTTCCTGTTGAAGGCCTGAACCGCGCCTTGCCCGCCGACTACGCGTCCGAAGTCGCTGTTATTCTGCGCGTGTCCTCCAACACGTGGGTGTCTCCTCCGCTTCCAGCGTCCGTCCTTGTTCACCATACTTTCTCCGGTACATTCTGGGTATCAGGGACCGCGAATCGATAGCGGGGCCTCCCGCGGCAGGGCGCGCATTCAAGAACATGAGGGCAGGATGCGTTTACGGGCTGACAACAGCCGCCTACCTTTCAAGCTTGCGGTACCCGCGGTTTCCACTGTCAAGATTGGACGTTCAGGGGGCATAAACGCAGGTGGGAGCATTTCCCGCGCCTCAATCTTGAGTTTCGCCTCCATTGCATTCGTCCGGAGTCTAACTAACACTCTTCACAGCATCGCCCTTCACCTCGGACATCCAGACCTGAGCGCCTTCCCCGCCCATCTCCGCGTCCCCGCCACATTCAATCACTCCGCCCTGATCAAGCGAACCTCTTCACCGACGTAAACCTCGATGCGCCGACCAGCATGACAAAGCTGCGTTGTACCATGCGACATAACTCGTTCAACGTGGATCATACACAACAAAACGATGGAATCGCAGTACAACTTGGTCTAGCATATGCGGGGAGCCCCTCGTTCCTTGATGAGCAGCCAGGCTGCGGCAAGGGAAGTGGAGCTGGAGAGGTAGCGCGTGTCTTTACGACGGGTACTACTCCACCTCATCGCACGCAGTGCGGACAACTTGCTGGTTGGTCGGCACCACGACGCTGCAAATGAAGGCTGAGGGGTCTGCGTTCCGCTCACGCTTCACATACGGCACATGGAAAGACCAAAAGCAACATGGGAGCATGGAGGACGAAAGTTGACGGATTCAAGGCTTCGGTACATGAGCTAGGCGTTGTCGTCGAGGGAGAGGTCTTGCAGGTTGTCGAGCCCCCTAAGAAAACCAACACCAGTTATATCGCGAGAGCCGACAGCAATACCAACTGTTGCGGTAGCAAAACAGCCATCTGCGACGTGGAAGAGAGATCAGGCGGATCAGATTATCAAAGCCGCAGCAAGCCACTCGTGAGTCTAACTATCGCGACAGTGCCTTCCACTTTGACTTACACCTACTCGCAGACTGAACGCAGGCCCATTAACGGGTTTCATCATACGTACTAGGGCTCTGGCGACCCGATTGCTTACCGCGACGCGCACTTTCCCGGACGCCTGCTATGTCACTTGCGATGAAGGAGTCTCCCGCGCATACCACGTTCGAGGCCGCCACCATGAATTACCTCTACCCTGGCAATGCTCCTCGGGATACAACAAATTTTCCGTAGTTACACCCGCGGTGTCGTCATTGCTGGTAGCGCAGTCACGTCTCGAGGGGAACCACCCGTCTGGCTCAACTGGGATTTCTGCAAAGACTGAGCGCGAAGACTAGTCAACAGCTGACTCAGCTTCAAACCTGACATTTCCAATCTCTCTGATTCAAAGTGTATCTTTGCGCAGGGTAGGGTCATAGATTGGGATAATTGTGAGCGGCTCGTTGGACTTGGCATCGAACTCGCGCTGAGGGAAGTGGCCCCCTACACATTGGAGAACAATCCCGGTGAGGAGAGCTTTGCGGTTGTCTCGGTTCAGACAACGTTCACTCGCTCCGCGTATTCAACCTTGTCTGCTCACGACTCTATCGAAAGAGCTTGGGAACTCCGGAACACGGCTTACTGGCGCTGCCCCATTTGGACATTGTTAACCATGTACAGATCTGGAATTGATTATACATTAGCGGGCCTTCATGACCTGCCACCCGGCGCCTGACAGCAGCGATGAAGGTGAAGGTGGGAGCGATTTGGGGCTCATCGTCCTCCCCGACACGTCGTCTGTCCACACTACCTTTTCCTTGATTGCTGCGACCATCGTCTTTGCCCCGCAAAGACTCCACAGAGACGTCTGGTAAGCGTAACACGCGCAAAGATTGGTGCTTCAACACACAGCCTAGTCAACTCACTCTCACACTATAGAACTTAATTCTACTTTTAGCAAGAGCGCATACCAAAGCGCCTGGCGACATGTGTGTGCAGAGGGAGTGGATGAAGAAGGTCGATCGACGAGTGCCTGTGCTTGGTATGGTCACCGAGACCAGTGACGAGCGCCATACCGACGAGACTGATGAGAACAGTGGTGAGACGCGTGACATCGGTGGAGAATGGAAAGTGAATGACTGGAAGAGCATTGCCGGTACAAACGACTGTCCATGGAACGAGCTGGATTCCTAGACGGGCGTCTGGAAGCTCTCGGTCAACGATGCGCAAGTACTGAAGACAAGGACCAGCTATAGAACAAAGACGACATACCAGCAAGAAGTCTTTGTGATAACGCCGCGCAGTACACGTCATGCGTTTAGTAGCCCTTCACGACCTCCATACCTGGGTATCGGATGATGTATGCTCCAGGCTTCTTCCTAGTAGTCGTACTTACGACGCTGGTCCGGACAGCATTTATCGCTGATCAAGCCATGCACCACGCGTCCAGACTTATAATGCCGTTGACTCACAGAACTGACCATTCGATCCAGAACCTTCCCCCAGATTGTCTTCATCTACCTCTTAGGCCGTAGGCCTTCGCAACACTTCCTATCGATCCAAATATCTCTCATGTACCACCGAGACTTCCGTTATCCGACATGCTCGCAGAGGGCGACCTGCTCTCATTCTCTGCCCCGCGGTGGCCATCAGAAACAGGTCGCTAGGGTCCGCCCTTGGCGTTTGCAGCTCCACCGTGGTGAGCGTGAACGTGAGACCAGAGGTGACTGAGGAAGCGCGTCTTGGCGTACAACAAGTCTCCCACTTCTCGCAACAAGTTGTTTGCTCATCCTCATTCTACCGCACACCAACGCCTGCAAGCCCGTACTCCTGCGAACAACGAACGACGAGACCGTCGCGATGGATTCCGCAAGCGAGGCCACCGTGATAAAATCAGAGAACGAGCCCGCTACGGTGCAACGCGCAACCCCGGCGCAAGAATGTGCGTTGACCCTCAGACACCGCGTTCAAAAGGATACGGTGCAATACGACCATCCCAAATACCTACCGATGTGGGTAATGGGCCTCATGGCTATTGTCGAGGTTGAAGAGATCGATCCTCTCAGTCGAATCGGATCCGGGGATAAGGCTGACCTCTCTGCCCAAGTTGAGTTGAGTGACGAGGCGTCAATCTGTAGCGATACCAACTGCTCGAACGAGCCAGCCTTTTACTACGACGAGATCGAATAGAAGCACGAAGGAGAAGCCTCCGGCTACGGCGCTGATATCTGTGACGAAGCCGAGACCATCGTTTCCACAGGCGACGAAACGGACTTCAAGGACCGCATTGCAACGGATCTCATAGCAAAAGCTGTGTACGAGGAGAGTGGTAGCGATACGGTGAATTGCGGGTAAGTACAGCTGCCGACTCACTGCGTCATTGGCCTGGCTAATGACCCCCCTCACAGACTCGATTCAGATCGCGCAGACGGTCTACCACAACGATTAGGAGCCACAGCTCTAAGGTGGATCCAGGTTAAAATTCTCGCGTGTCTTCTATCCTCCCGCAAACGCACATGTCCAACGCCGCCTGCCTCAACACCAAAGACCGCCGTGTCAATCAATTTGACGCGGTGGATACGATACTGACAGTCCAGACTGGCTTTTTGAGACCACATACGACGACTGCGCGGAGACCACAGGAAGATAAATCATCAAGGAGGCGTTGCAGTTCACCTTTCCAGAACATGTTGGTTCCCTGGTGGACTACCAAACCTGCGTTTGCCATTTGCATGTTCAGCTCCAGGTTATCATGGGACCAAGAAAGACTCGAGCCAGAGATGATGAAACTGGACAATCGCGAACACCTCGCTTCGTTCTCCACTCTCAAACCATACTCGATACCAATGAAGAGGAGGAAGAGGTATGCAAGCTCAAGGCGTGAGAGCATGATGCTCTTGGGTTGGAGGAGTACGAAACAGTGCGAACCCAAGAACAAGAAGCTGCTCAGGTAGAAGGAATTGACTTTGTCAAGGCTAGAGGTCTCGGAGTGATCAAAGCCCAGGGAATCAAGGTTGCCAGAGTCAGTCTTAGCCAAGAGTGATTACGCTCGCAGCACGTATGTGTTGTTTACTCGCTTACATGATCTATCAGATTTAATCTCAATCCTCTCTCCACGCTTGTCATGGACCTTGAAATTTGAAAACAGTAATTTCCAACGTTAGCTACCGTTACAGCAGCACCCACCCAGGCTCTTTTCTCTAGATCAGGAAGCTATACGCGGATCCGAGAACCAATGCAAGAAGCAGCAGGTCACGCCGAAGAACCAACGTACCGAGGACCCAAAGACTGCCCGAATACGTCGTACCAGCGACATGACAATCTTGATTACGACACAGTCAACGACGTCTCGCACTAAATTCTTTCAAGAGCTCCCAGTGATAACCCGAGTTCTTTCCACGGCTCACAATACCCCATATATCTGTTGCGGTTCACACGGATTCATATGCTGCCTTCAGACAACCGAAGGTCCGCGCCATTGTCACGCAGGCTTTCTTAGACCGTCATAATCTAGAGAACTCGAAGAAAGATCGCGTAAACATACCCATCTTGCCTACGCCCTCACTCCTCATCGCAAGTCAGAAGCCCGTTCATCTGAATTGGGGGTATTGCAAGGAATGATGGGTGTAAACATCTCGAACAACTTCGCTCAACGGCGCAGCCTTAATTTTATGCTGGAATTCAGGACACTATACGCGCTGGACATTCCACATAAAGAGTCTAGAAGTGATCATGAGCTCTCGTTCTAGAACGATAACGGCGCATGTTCCGCAGTCCGAAGCCGGTATCTTGCGTGGGCTTTCTTGCTGCCGACAGAACGCAGACATCGAGACAGTAGATTAGGGTCCAGCATGTCCGCTGAGTGCTAAACCTATCGCAGTAATGTGCAGCTGTTGTGGCGTTCTCGTCAATAACGGACAACCATTGCGGTGTCAAGGCGGCCATGACGCTTACGATCGCGTGGACCTAAGCAGTCAACGGCCTGCGAAGGCCAGCTGGGAAATAGAGTAGAGGCAGCGGTGGACATACTTACGAGGTATCAAACTATCGTCCTCGTGGTCATGGCCTTTCCTCTTGATGAAAATGCTTCCACAGCCAGTGCAGTCATCCTCGGCTGCCTCAATGATAGTGCCGAGCTTCTTCAGACGGCGCTGGTGGGGGTGCGTCTTCCTGTCCCACCGACGTTTCTATTTCGGGGGGTTCTCGGATGGCACTTGAGGCAGAGAGAGTGTATCTTGATCTGCAGGGTAATGGTGAACTGTCTCGCGGATTCGGTGCATTCCATGCTGACGTCATGCGATGTCTTCTGAGCTGTATACCGGTAGTAGGGAAGATGGCTGCCCGCGAAACTAGGGTAGCAGCGCTTGCGCAAAAGGGAAGAATTTCCTAGTGTGGAAGACCTCGGTTGGTGGTCGCTTCCGCAATCACTCTCACCACGAAGACACACCAAGCGGTGAACCCCGGCGGCCGACCGCATTGGCTCCAATCGAGCTCACTTCCTGGGATTCGAAGCGGGGTGTGATCAAATTTGTGCTGAGATTGTATTCCGCTCAGAAACTTGGTGGAGCTCAATCGCAATTCACGTGGGCATTCTTGTGTCGGAGGAGGAGAGGTACGGGCGTCATAACTTGGGATACATGACCTTTCCAGTATTCCATCTACCTGCAGGCTTGCGTGAACGCTCCAGACCGCGGGACATCTCCGAACAGCTGTACGACTAATGCCGCAACTGCTTCAGGGTCGATACAGACCTCCAACTCGACATACAATGTGATCGCGACCCGTTTGTCTTGGTCAACCGAATCGCAGTTGCCAGGGAAGCTTCTGTCATTCAATATTGGAGGGCGAGACTGGTTTTGAACTTTTCGTACCTAGCCAGCGATACGGAGAGATTCAGGCCGCTGTCATTGAGGCGCTAATTTCCGCCACTCCAATTCCGCAAGTAGTAGTGAAGGTGAAAGGGACGGTGAGCGTGGAGAATTGTATGTCGTAACGATCTTTTGCCAACCCGTACTAGCCAACATGTCTTACTACTCCGACTACTCCGACTTACTACCACCCTCACCACTCTCGCGCGACGCGTCGCATTCCCCTCGGCCTGTCATCACCATCTTTTTGATCACCCACCAAAGCGCAGCACTTCCGAGACTCAGACATCGAAGTCTACAAGGCCCCAACCCAAGCGACCGTTCGCAACGAGATGGTCATTTGCGCAGGAGTTTGTCGGTTCGTGAACGACCGGTTACTACATCTCGTCCATGCTCCGCAAGCGATGAAAAGGCGTTGAGACCAGCGCGTCCGCCATCTGAAGCGTCGATTCAGACAACTCACCACGAGAGACGCGGCGGATGAGGGCAAAGACGGCGGGGGCCGCTACGTCGAAGAGGTCCAAGAAGTTATCGATCCAGGCAAAGAAAGCGACGGTAGTATCGACGATATGAGCGATGGCGACCACGTGGTCATGACCATTAAGCTCGAGTGAGCATATCCGCCGCGTGTTTGCAACCTGCCTAAATGACCTTCATAGGGCATTCATCGAGTGGTTGGAAAGCATTCCGTTTGAGCTCGCCGCAATTCATCGCGAACGAGATTAACAAGCCAGGGCGAGACTTTGTATAGACCCTCCAGCCCTATGAGTGACGCGACGAGAGCTGCTTCGGCAACGCGCGACCTATCGAGATGCGAAGTCGTGTTGGGTCTGGAAAAGGAGCTGGATATGCTGGCGTAAGCGCGTTGCTGGGCGGGGTTCCTGTACAAGACTAGAGGGTATTCGTGGTTGGAGCGATCTGACGATTGGGAGTCGTATATCAAAGAAGGCGTCGCAACAATCACAATGGCACACTTACGGGCAGGGCTCCATGGCGGTAAGGACACATGATGCTTGTGTTAATCTGACCCTCATTTGCCCATGCGCACTTGTACAGAGTTGACTAATGAAAGGCTTCGTGGCTGACCTACATTTCCTTGCAGAGTTGTTGAGAGACCGACTTGATGATCCTACCCGGAGATTCATCCTACCTGAGTACCAACGGCGCAGCTGAGGATGGCATGCATCTTGCGAATGCAGGTGCGAGGCCACAGTCTGAGCCGATGGCCCATCATCTTCCTCGTTGAGATGAGACTAGCAGAAGAGCGCAACGTCTACTCTTGTTCGATTGCCGAAGGGCGAGGTGCGCATGATGGGGACCTGGCTT